CTGCTCGTCCGAGAGTTTGCCCAGGCCGGCAGCCCCCGCGGAGGAGGCGGTGGAGGCGGCGGCGGCGTCCTCCGCGTCTTCCTGGGCCAGCAGCAGCCCCTTCAGCTCGAGCAGCGCCCGGTGGTACTTGCCGATGGCTTCCCGGCACTTCTTCTCCTTGTAGCACTGGGCTCCTTGGCTTTTGAAATCCAGCGCTCTTCGGATCAGCTGCTCGGGCTCCGCAGCCGGAGAAGCGGCGGCGGCGGCGCCTGCAACCGAGAGCTGGCCGCAGCCGCTGCCCCGATGCTGGGCGCCCGCCGCTGGCCCGCCGCCGCCGCCGCCCTGGGCGCAGTGCCCGTCCCCGGCTCCCCGGCTGCCCGGGTTCTGCTTCCCCGCGGTAGCGGGGCTCTTCCGCTCCATGCCAGCCGCTGCTTGGCTCCTCCTCGCTCTCAGGGCGGCGGCGGTAGCAGCTCCGACGCCGAAGCCAGAGAGCGAGAAGCTGCCGCTGCCGCGGCCACCTCTGCCTCCCTCTCCCCGCCGAAGGAATCAAGCGGCGGCCGAGGCAGCTCCCGGCTTGCTGGGGCTGCTGCTGCCACCCTTTGGCTCGGCGCGGCTCCTTGCTCCCATCCTCCGGGCGCCTCCTGGCAAGAGCGGGGCACCGCCGCCGCCGCCTCCTCCTCCTCTCCCCTCCGACCTGCCTCCCGTAGCGCGCGGCGCGCGGGGCTGCTGGTTCCCGCGCTGCTGCGTTGTGCTGAGAGGATTGCGCTGAGGGACAATTGCTGCCAACCCGGGAGGTTCTGCCCGCGCGCAGGAGGGGCGGGCAGGAGCCCTCCCACTTGCCCAGCCCGATCTCCGTCCGGCTCTAAAGGCACCGGGCGACGTATGGGAAAGGGGGGGGGGGCTCAGGGGATGAAGAGGAGACGGGAAATCTATCAGGTGACGTAGGCAGAGAGAAGGGAAAGCAGAGCGCCGCGCCCCGAATTTTTTTTTTTTGGGGTGGGGGGGAAAGCCACCCTGTCTTTGCCTCTGAGAGATCAAGGGATGTAGGCTCTTAAAGGCACAGGCGTCCTGGATCGGAAGGCTTGGGCGGGGAAAGGACGGGCTGGGGGGGGGGGCGCCATAAGCGCCCGTGTATAAATACAATAGTAGCTAGTGATGCTCACCTGGCGGCCGGGCTGTTCCTGGTGAATGGCTACAGCAGTGGTTCTCAACCTTTCTAATGCCGCGACCCAAACCGGTCGTAAGTCGAGGACTAAACCGGTCGTAAGTCGAGGACTACCCAACCGGTCGTAAGTCGAGGACTTTCCCTGCCCGGGAGCGCCGTGCATGTGTGGTTCCGCCCCCTGCACCGGCCGAGGCGTAGCTGGCAAGCGGCAGAGACGGAGCAGGCTGACCACCAGCTGGCCCAGCTCAAGGGAGGTAAGGCACCCGCCGGAAAAGGGGGAAAAAAATGGCGGACAAAAAAATGGCGGACAAAAAAAATGGCGGACAGCCTTGCTTGGCGACCCCCATGAAATGGTCGATCGACCCCAAATGGGGTCCCGACCCACAGGTTGAGAACCACTGGGCTACAGCTTAGAGCAGAGGAATATAATACAAGGTAAGCCTTGACCTACGACCACACAACTGAGCCCAAAATTTATGTTGCTAAGTAGTGAGACATTTGTTAAGTGGGTTTTACGACTTTTCGGGCCACACTTTGTTAAGTGAATCAATGCAGTTGTTAAATGAGTTAAGAGCGTTGTTAAGCGAATCTGGCTTTTCTGTTAGCTTGTCACAAAAGGTGATCGCATGACCTCAGGACACCGCAACTGTCACAAATATGAACCGGCTGTCAAGCATCCAAATGTAAATCACACGACCATGGGGGAATGCTGCGATGGTCATTAAGTGGTCATAAGTCGTTTTTTTTTCAGTGCTGTTGTAACTTTGAACAGTCACTAAATGAACTGTTGTAAGTCAAGGACTACCTGTAATGGTGAAATAGAAGGATGATCCTGGGTGAATGGGAAGAAATAAAACAGCAGAATAAAAAGCAGCAGAAGGGATAGTTGAGCCCTAAGTTCATCCACCCCTGGGTTTCTTCTATCTTCCCCTACCCCTATCGCAATAGCTTGGGAGATGTTTTCTTAGTGTATTTCCTTCCTTTTCCCATTGCTGCTAAAAGTAACCTGTTCCACGATAGATCACTTGTAAGAGGAGCTTTCTGCAGACCATTAATTCTGCGATGCCTCACGTTCAAAATAGTGGTGCATAAAAACATTTCTTCCCCTCCCAGCTTCCAAGTGGCGTCTTCTGCCTTGCCATTCTTACTATGAGTCAAATAGGATGAATTTTCAAAATTGTTGAAGAGATGAAGCCTACGCAATAGGCAAATGTTCACAGCCATTTAGTGTAATCACCTGCATTTGAGTATGCCCTGAGCCCATTCTGTAGACATGCAATGGGCATGAAGCTCAGAGGTTATAACTCCGCTCCTGCATGAATGTAACAATGCTACGTAAAATCACCATTGCAGACACTGGCGAGGAGGTGAAGCTTGGGAAGTTAAAGTAAAAAGTAGCCATTCTGCTCCCAAACATTCCATTGGAAAGATGGTTATGACACCTTCCAGGGATTATGCATTTTGTCTTGAAAATTCGTAACTGATTTTTTTTTTGTCATCCTAGAAGAAAGTAACTTTGGAAAGAAATGGGGGACAATAAAACATACCCAGCATTACATTAATTCGACATAAATCTAGTTCACACAGGCTTAATTTTCTCAGGTTGTGTGAAGATGTCTTGGACTATAACTTCTACAACCGCTGGCCAATATGAATTTGTTCATCCAGTATAAGTGAGGTCAACTGGAAAACATTTGCCATTACAGAAAGCACCCATCAAGTTCAATTGATTCCCCAACAAGCAAAAGATTGTGCTTCTAGAATATCTTACCAAGACTGTATAGCATTTGCTGGAAAGAATTTGTTTTGGGGATATTCTAGTCAGCTTTTTTTTTTACTTGTTGTAACCTTAAATACGAATGGATGGATGAATATGACTTAGAAAGAATGCAGTTTTATATTTGGCCTTATCTCTGTATACATTTAAGACTTCCTGAGTTGCCTTTCAGCTCAAAAAGGCTTCAGTGGTTAAAATTTAATTCTTTAAAACAAATCTCAAAGTATTAAACTACAGTTTCCTTCAAGTCAAGTTCCTGGTGACTTCATGGCCAAACCCATACATGTTTTTTTGCAAGAGTACAGAAATGGTTTGCTATTCCCCTTTTTCCAAATATTTTTTCAACTTTCTGTCTAGCTCACAGATCTGGGATTTCCTAGTTTCTTCCATCCAATTGTTAACTAGATCCACTCCAACTTTTAAAGTTTAATAGTAACCAGGTCAGATAGATGCTACGCAAAACTAATGGTAGCTTGTGCAGATGGGAAGCATTTATTTAAACACATTTATATGGGTGCCCAAATTGTACAAGGCAACTCTAGTGATTCCACAATGGAAAATCCCATAACACCCCCCTCAGCAGCCACAGGCACAATTACACTAACCACTTGATGGGCTCCATTTCAATCTGGGATCCTCAGGCCCACTGACAGAACCATGTCTTCAGGGCTTTCTGTAAAAGTATCAAGGTGGGGGCTAATTTTATCTCAGGGGGAATGATATTCTACAGCAGTGGTTCTCAACCTTTTTAATGCCATGACCCCAACCGGTCGTAAGTCGAGGACAAAACTGGTCGTAAGTCGAGGACTAAGCCGGTTGTAAGTCGAGGACTACCCAACCGGTTGTAAGTCGAGGACTTTCCCTGCCCGGGAGCGCCGCGCATGCTTGGTTCCGCCCCCTGCGCCGGCCGAGGCATAGCTGGCAAGCGGCAGAGACAGAGCAGGCCAACCACCAGCTGGCCCAGCCCAAGGGAGGTAAGGCACCCGCCGGAAAAGGGAAAAAAATGGCGGACAAAAAAAATGGCGGACAAAAAAAATGGCAGACAGCCTTGCTTGGCGACCCCCGTGAAATGGTCGATCGACCCAAATGGGGTCCCGACCCACAGGTTGAGAACCACTGTTCTACAGGGAGGGACCCACCACAGAGAAGGCCCTTTTTCTGGGTCCCACTAGATGTACTGTCCTAATAAATGGGATCTGTAACTTACCTTGCCTTCCTGCTCTGGTGGGCCAGGTAAATGTAACTGGGGAGACGTGGTCCTTCAAGTATCCTGGCCCCAAGCCATAACCAGCACCTTGAATTGCACCTGAAAGCAAATCAGCAATAATTTGGTTTAATTCGGTTTTAAGGGGGGGATTGTATATATGCTTTGGTTTTAAATATGTTGTGCGCCGCCCTGAGTCCCGCTGGGAGAAGGGTGGCATATAAATTAAATTAAATAAATAAATAAATAAATAAGTCACCTCTTTTATGGGAGCTGCACTGATCTTGATTTGTGCAAAACTGTAGGGGCCATTGCATTTTGAATCAACTGAAGTTTCATGTTGAGTACACATGAGATGACTAGGGCATGGGTGAGTGTGAGAAGGGCACACACTCACACACTGAGGAAACAGTGTAACTGGTGCACAACTCACAGTTGTGCAAAGGTCTTCCTAGCCATGACTGCCATCTGCTCTTGAACAGGATCGGTGAATCCAGGAGAACCCCCAGATTATGCACTGGGTCTGTTTGGGGCAGTGCCACCCCATCTAAGACCAAAGGTGGCAATTCTCCAAGAGCCCGGAAACCATGGACGTAAAGTCTCTCCCTTTTGCCAGGTTTCAGTTTTAATCTTTTGTTCCCCATCCAGACCTCAACAGTCTCCAGGAAATGAGAGTAGGCACCTGCAACAGAGATGTGTAACTATCATCCAAAGGAAACCTGAAAGGCCTCTGAAGCAAGGAATAAACCATAGCCTGGTTCCTATGGGGAGAATATATGTGTGGGTGTGTGGAGAAATGAATTAGATTGTTTGCAAATAGTAGTAGGTGTAATTAAAAGACATTCAAGAATTGGTGTGTATGTGTGAGGTAAAAATTAAAGACAAAGTATGTAAGCCTTTAATCCTATCTCTTACAGTCATCAGATGTGAGTGTCTCATTGAAGTCATGAATATGAAATTCCTGCTATGATACAATTAGTCATCTTTTGGCAACAGTACCCATTTCAGGTATTAAAGTTGCAGTCAATCTTTTTCTGGAGAGAATTTAATAGCATTTTAATGAATTCCACACAATAAAATGAGCACAGCCATATCTGGATTGCAAAACTCCTGGTGACCAATAGATGGCAAAAAAAGAGACATAGAAAATTCCATTTAGTAGCTATCTGGAGTTTTACATTCCAGATATGGTGAAGCTTATAAAAAATACAGAATTCAGTTTTACAGTTACATTTAATAGAGAAGATGAGGAAAGGAAATAATCTGGAGGACTT